CTCGGCTAGCTCCTCTGCGACTACTCGCTGCCGCTGCTGCCGAACCGCGCCCGCCTCTGCCTCCGAGGCCACAGGGGCGGAGTCAAGAGCGTCGCGTGGCTGCAGGTCGGCGGCGGCGGCGGCGCCGAGACTACTGGTGTCTTATAGGCTTGAATCCTTCAGATGGGTATGCTACATATCTGTGCATGCATTATGCAGGCGAGCTGCTCGTGTCGGGCTCGAACGCCCCCACCGTACGGCTGTGGGAGGCTGGCCCGCTTGCGGTGTTTGTGCGGTGGGGGGGTGGGGGGGGGGGTGAGGATGAGCTTGCCAATGCCACTCTAGTGAAGCTCTCGCAATAGGTTGGGCCGCCTGCGGTCGCCGCGGGTGGCAGCGACGCGCGCGAGTCTGCGGGCGGCAGCGAGTCTGCGGGCGTGTCTGCGGGCGGGTGCGGCTGGGCCGGGTCGGTGTGCGTGCTGCAGCACCCGTCTCGCGTGTGGGCGGTCGCCACGCGGGGCGGGGGGGGAGGTGGCGTGCCGCTGCTCGCTTCGGCGTGCGCGGACGGCCGGGTGCGGCTGTGGGACGCGCGCGACCCTAGAAGCGGAACACGTGCTCTTGCACTCCGACTAGCGCTCCAGAGGACATGTACATGTACATGTTGTGCATGCACAACATGTATTCGGCCGTATTCAGCTGTAGTCACTGTATTCCGATCCGTTGTGTTCACGCGGTGCTCTGAAGACGCTGCACAAGACCGTCTCCCCGCCCTCAGTTGGCGTACTCAGCACGTAGGCGCGCGACGCGGTCGCGAGCTACGCCGCCGGCGGCGTAGCGGGCAGTGCGGGCGTCGGCGCGGGGCTGCGGCTAGGTTCGCACGAGGGTCAGGGTTAGGGTTAGGGTTAGGGTTAGGGTTAGGGTTAGGGTTAGCGGCGCGGGGCTGCGGCTAGGCTCGCACGAGGGTTGGGGTTAGGGTTAGGGTTAGGGTTAGGGTTAGGGTTAGGGTTAGGGTTAGCGGCGCGGGGCTCAGGCTAGGTACGCACGAGGGCGACGGCTACACGGCCGGTCATGGTTGATGAGTGAATTCATTCCTTGACAGGCTCGCACGAGGGCGACGCGTACACGGTCGGGCTTCACCCGAGCGAGGCCGAGTTGCGAGGAGGTGCGGGGTACGGTGCCTCAGGCGTTGGGTTGAGTCGTTGGCGAGCTCGCTCCTAGGCGGTCGGGATGAGCGGCGGGTACGACGCCGCGGTGCGGCTGTACGATCTGACGACGGGCGCGCTGCTGCGATCGCTGGTGGGGCACGAGCGCAGCGTCTCGAGCGCCGTGTTCAACTCGGCGGGCAACCTGATCGTGTCTGGCGGCAAGGACGCGACGGTCCGCTTCTGGGACGCGCGATCCGGTCTCTGCCTCAAGTGCTTCGAGAGCCCGCTGGGGGAGGTGGGCTCGGCCGTGGCCTCGCGCCCAGCGGCGTCTCTTCACACCTCTGAGCCCTGCCACTGCTGTGAACAGGTGACCTCGGTCGACCTCGCGCCCAACGGCGTGCACCTTGTCTCGTCGTCTAAAGACAACGCGCTGCGGCTGTGGGACGTGCGCACCGCCAAGCCGCTCCTCGTGCTCAAGGGGCACCAGAACACCGCGCGCAACTTTGTGCGCGCGCGCTTCGCCAAGGGCGGCACCCTCGTCGCCTCCGGCTCAGACGACGGCGGCGCGTTCCTCTGGCACGCGAGCTCGGGCGAGCTCGCCGCTCGGCTCGGCGGGCACACGGATGTGGTGTACGACACGGCGTGGAGCGAGCCGCTCGACCTCATCGCCACCGCGTCGCACGACGGCCTGATCAAGCTGTGGGGGTGGGACGCCGCCGCGCCGGGTAGCGTCGCGGGCAGCGCGGCGGCGGGGTGGGACGGGCCGTGGAGGAATCGGCCCGCCGGCGGCGCCGTGTAGCATGAGTGGAATTACGTCGTCTCATTTGTAGAGGAGCATGGAGAGGAGTACGAGCAAAGCCGGTCTATCTTTTTCTCGGTCTCGCGCGATCCCCCCCCCGCGGCGCGCGCTCTCAAGGTCAAGCCGCCGGCGCGCCGCTCTCCCGGAACTCCCGCGCGCGGGGGGCCCGGGGGGCCGTCACTCCCTCTCAGTTCCTCTCGCACAAAAATACTGGGCACCTGCTGCGGCGTGCGGGCTACCCAACGCGGCCAAAGGATATCCACCTCGAGAACCTCGAGAACGACTCTTGTGCATCGGCGATGGAGTGGAGGAGGAGCTGAGGCGCATCATGATCGGCTAACCTCGGAATGTGGAGGCAGTATGACTGTGCTCGCTCCTACACAGCCATCTTACCTAAGGATGGCTGAGCTAGCTGCAGTGCAGCCATAGCCTTCATCCCGATGGCTGCAATACACACAGGGCAGCCATCCTTGGTAGACATGGCTGGAGACGCACTACCGCAGCCATACCGCCTGTGCCTCGGTGAGCCCTCTTGGCTGAGCTGGCAATATTGGGTAAGATGGCTGTGAGGTCGAGGGCGAGGTAGCTGAGGTGATGGAGGCCGCATCGCGCTACGCGTATGGAGGCGGGGGGGCAGAGGAGAGGTGTGGCGGGACATGAAGACCCGTGGTTGGTGGCATACGGCTTTAAGTGAGTCGAGAGAGAGAGAGCAAAGCATTCCGCTTTGGGCGTGTCCACTTACTCCGCCTCCTCGGCCGTCGCAGTTGTGCAACTGCGACGGTTTTTGTCGAGTTCGCTCTGGCAGGCGGTAGCGACATGCCGCCGTCGGAAAATTCGACTGTACAAAAAATGAGCTACCACGACACCTGACCGTGTGAGCGCGTGCGACAAAATCTGGCAGAGAAAATGCGTGCATTTCATGTGATGACAAAAACGATGCGTGTTGCGCGCCTTGTGCGGTGCGCTGTTACCGTTTGCGTGGGCGGCGCGCCGGGCGGCGGCGGCGCTCTCGTCCAATGCGCACTAGCCTCGATGGCGGTCGTCTCCGAAGCCCGATTAACCCTCATCTGCCGGGCGAGCGCGACTCCTGCGCTCGAGCTTGCGCGCAACTATATCCCCGACGTACTCCTCGAGCAGCTCCACGAGGCGGGTGCCGAAGAGCTCGCGAGGCGAGTTTGAGGTGCCGCCCTTCGACCTGAACCGAGAGCGAGTCGCTGCTCGCGTCACGCGGTGGCCGAACCGCGCCGCTGTTCCCGGCGCTCGGCTTTCCTCGGCAGCCGTTGGCGTCCAGTCGGGCGGGAAGAAGCGTTCCTTGTGCTTCTGGACCAAGTCGTAAATTTCCCTCATGTGCGGCAAATCCTTCTGGCGGATAATCAGCGAGTACAGCCCGAGGGCGGGGACGACGAGCAACTCCTTGTCGCTCTCGATGGTGAACTGGCCCTCAAACACAAAGAACGAGAGCGACTCGAGGGGGAAGGGGCGGAGGAGTCCACCCGTGCCCTGCATCACGTACGAGTTTGCCGAGCCAGAGCCGCATAACTTGGACAGCATCTCGACGCGGCAAAACCCGCGCTTGCAGTAGTCCTCCAGGTCCATCGTGCAGCCGTGGTCGTGGTGCACCGCAGTCGGCGCCACAGCTACAAAGACATCGCAGTAAGCCGCATACATCGGCAGCGAGGCGATCGCTAGCCTCTGGAGCTTTGGGTGCTTCTGGCTGATGCTGGTGTAGTCGCACCTGTGGGCACGGATTGGGTTCAACCACTAGTCATAGTCGGGGGAGGCGCTGAACTGCGCCTCACCACTGACCGGGAAGGCCGCCAAGTGGGCCAGCACAGGTCGCACATTGTGGCAGCAGTCAGCAGTGCATGTCTGATAGCTAGAGCAGCAGCGTCAGGGTCGCAGGGTCGGATCGTGTCAAGCCTCTCGCCCGGCCGGCCGCGTGCAGACGTCGGCCTGTCTGCTGTCTGGAGTGATCTGTCGGCGGTCAGTACGACCAATCAGGTCGGAGTTTTCTGATGGTTGGAGGGTCTATCTGTATGTACTCCTCGAGATCTCTCCAAATCGGCCCTCTAATCAACCGTAATCATTCGGGAAGTCGGTGCTCTGAGCGAGTATGAGCGCCGGAGCCCCGTTTCCGCACTGCGGCGCGGCGCACGGTGCCTCCGGGGGCCCCCGCCTCCCCCCAGAGTCCTGACCAGCCCAGGCCCAGCCTCTCCTCTAACTATTGACGTATATATTGATATTGATCGCATCTCTAACTATTGGAGCAATATATTCAATATTTTGCGGGTGCCTTAGCCGTTGCGTACGGTACCGTACAGCGTAAGCCGTACGTACTTCGAGGGCGAGCAAGGTGCAGGGAGTTAGCCGACGGCGGGGTGGAGCACTGCGAGGGCGAGTGAGGCACGGAGTAGAAGGAGGAACGGGGAACTCTTCTGCCGGTCTGCGGTCTGGTGCGGTGACTGGTCGCGTGGACGTGGAGGCACACACTTCGTGGTTCGTGTGTTGGTGTTTGTTTCATCTGGGGGACGCCTAGTATCAAAATCATTACCATTAGAGGAAAATCCCGCCCGGTCATGTAAAAACAGTGTACAAAATCCTGAGCTCTCCTGCATTGGGGGGGACGCCCTCGTCGGGCCCTCTGCGCCGGCAATTGCCGACAGACCGCCCACCAATGTTGTGCGAGACCATCCGCCCGCACTGTACCAACATCCTCTCTGTCTGTCCACAGCGACGCACGCTCCCCCGCGCACCCCGCGCGCGCTCAGAGCGCGGCCGCCTGGAAGCGGTCGGGGGGGGCGCGGGCCCGCTTGGTCGCGCCACGCCCGTCGGCCGCCGGCGACGAAGGGGCGGAGGATCCCGAGGGAGCGCCTCGCTTCGGCGGCGGCAGCGGCCGCTTCTTTGGGGGAAGTGGCTGCGGCTGCGGCTGCTGCGGCTGCTGCTGCTGCTGCTGCGGCTGCCGCCGCGCGAGCTCCTTTGCGCGGAAGCGGTGCACCTGCGCTCCACCCTCCCCGCCCACGCGCACCTTGACCCAGCCGCGGGACAACTCGACCACCTCGCCTGCCTGGGAAGTGGGGTGAGGGAAGGTCAACTTCAGGCACACAAGGTCAGCTTCACGCACACAAGGTGTGGCGGGGCAAAGCCCAAGGCGACCCTCGCGTCTCCACGTCTAGACGACAGGGGCCCCACGGCATGAAAAGTGCAAGGCCCAGTGCGCGTGGGTGAGCGGAGTGGGAGCGCCCGCCTGGGAGTGCAGCGGACCCGCGCGCAGCACTGCCACGCCGTCGCCCGCCGCCAGCGTCGCAGCAGACTCGCCGCCGCCGCCGCCGCCGCCGCCGCTGTTGGCGCTGTTGGCGCTGTTGCCGCCGCCGCCGCTGTTGCCGCCGCCGCCGCTGTTGCCGCCGCCGCCGCTGTTGCCGCCGCCGCTGTCCCAAACGCTGCTGCCGTGGCCAGCTCGTTCCGCTTGTCGCCCCGAGAATCCCTGGGAAGAGGAGAGGGAGGATGGGGTGGTGGGGAGGGGGGCGGGTCACACGGGCGCAGCGGGGCCTGTACCTCGGCTACATCTCGGCTACATCTCGGCTACACTCGGCTACACTCGGCTACATCTCGGCTACATCTCGGCGGATCTCGCCTCGGGGAGAAGCAGCCGCGTCCCGTCCTTGAGGGCAGAGGTGGGGCGCAGCGCCGGGTACCTGAAGGGGGTCCAGCCCGCCGCCGAACCGCTAAGGAAGGGGGCGGGTGAGGGGCGGAGGCGGGGGCGCACCGTCCCCCGCCCTTCCCTCACTGGGCACCGGAGTGGAACTTCTCTAACACAGCCGAAAGAGACTGTGGAGGCGGGGGCGGAGGAGGTGCGGTGGTGTGCACCGAGACACGTTGAGCGCCGCCAGCCGCGCAGGGGCGATGCCGAGCGCCTGAGGACAACGCCGCTGCACGTCACCAGCGGCAGGCCCGTTCTCAGCCGCGAGTGCGCGAGGGGGAGGCGCCGCTGCGATCGCGTCGACCTTCTCGCCCTCGCGAGCGATGTACTCGTCGTCGTCGTCCTCCTCCTCCCCCTCCCCCTCCCCCTCCCCCTCCCCCTCCTCCGCCTCCGCCTCCACCCTCTCCTTCTCCTTCTCCGCCGCCGCGCCGCGCTTGACCGGCCTCGCACCCCTCTTCGCCTGCTGCGACCCTCGCCTTGCGGCGCCGCCGCTCGCCGCCGGCCGTT